CGCCCGGTGACCTGCGCGCCCCGTCCCGTGCGCCCTACCTCCGGGCCCGTCCCGCCTAAAACCTAAGCCCCGCGCTGTGCCTGCCTCGCTCTCCCCACCATCCCTTGCATGCCAAGCCCGTCCCTGGGGGTCCCGGGGGGCAGGGGAGGTGTAGGACCCCCAGCCCCTTCCCGCCCCGCAGAAGTGACGCTTGGAGGGGTGTCCGTGCTGGGAGACAGGAGGTATGGAGAAACCAGGTGATGCTGGGAGTCCTCTGTGGAAATGCTCTGGGGTGCAACTTTAGGGTGTCCCTGTGTGCGCGTTCGGGAGCAGGTCTGTGGGGCCGGTGGGATTTGCCGTCGCAGCCCCAGATTCCCGACCAGAAGCCCAGCCCGAGCCCCTGGGTGGCGTTTCTTTAGGTGAGGGGCTGTGTGCGCCACTTCTGTCTGCAGCGGCCATCTGTCTCTGACAGCCAGAGAGTTGCCCCCTTCCCGCAGGGTCCCCCAGCCCCCACTGCGCCACCGGTGGGGGGGGGCTGTCTGGGAAGCTAGACAGCAGGTGAAGTAAATGCACACAGTAGGCGCCTGTTGAAGAGTCAGAATCTTTAAATAGTGTCGTAATTGCAGTCAGCTCTGCAAAACCATTGCGTGTTTCTTTTTTTCTTTTTTTTCTTTTTAATATGAACAGTGTGGGGTAGGGGAAATTGGGGAATTTGACTTGGGTGCTTGGCTTAACTGAGATGAACCTTTAAAAAAAATCCAGATGCCTTACCTGTGGGCCACCAGGTGAACCTGTCTGGGCTTTCTCAGAGATGAATACCTCAAAATCTGCTCCCCCCTTTAGCTCACTTAGCAAAAGTGAGGTTTTGGTGGAGTGTCGGGGCGGGGGGGGGGTCAGAATCTTTCCATCCACCATTTCCCCATTCCCAGTTTTAGGACTCGAGGTTGCGTATTTTGTTTGGGGGAGATGAGACATCTGACCTGCTCCTGAGAACTAGGCAGTGGGCTCTGGTCACTCGGTCACCAGGAACATGGCCGTCCTCCTGAGTGCGTTGACATGAGGTGCCTACTGTGCACCAGGCTGGAAGGACCGCAGAGGGTCACGGGCTTGGCTTTGGCCTCTGGGGCCTTGTGGGGTGAATGGTGTAACCTTTCTTGTGCCTCAGGAGCTGAATGCTTCCCGGCCTGCCACCCCCAAAATGGATTCTGCGAGGATGACAATGTTTGCAGGTAATGAGGTGGCTCCCCAGAGGCAGCTTGTGTGGGGGAGGGGGCCAGGGCAGGGTCCTGGGGAGTCACGGTGTCAAATAGGAAAAAAGGGGTGTTTGGCTACTGGGCTGCAGCAGCTTCCTCACCCCTGCAGGAAGCTGGTGGGGGCAGTGAAGGGTGGCGGGGGGCACAGCCACAGCTCCTGTCTGCTTTCTTAGAGGTGGGGTGGCTGGAGAGCCCCTTGCAGGCCACTGCGGCAAAACGCAATACGCAGCAGCATTTTCCTGGGCTCTCGAGGACCCCTCTGTCTGCTCCTCAGCTGTCCCCTCTTTAAGCTTTTCCATTCAGGTGACGTGTTTGTTTCCTGGGACTCACTGGCCTGGCACTGCGCAAAGACCCCCGGGGCTCTTGGTTCCGCAGAAAGCAGCCTGAGCTCCCTCTTCGCCCCCGCCCTCCCTCATGCGTCCCCACCTTTCTCCCCTCCCCACCCTCCGCAGGTGCCAGCCTGGCTGGCAGGGTCCCCTGTGTGACCAATGCGTGACCTTTCCTGGCTGCGTTAACGGACTCTGCATGGAACCCTGGCAGTGCATCTGTGACGACGGCTGGGACGGGAATC